TTCTTCTGTGCAGCATAGGATCTGGCATTCTTTAGCATCGCCCAAATTTGAAGAGACACTCCGGCAAAAATAATCTTTATCATCACAAGCCCTTTGGTAGACACAGCTTTTGCCGTAAACCCGGACGCCAGTGGATCCATCGAAAAAAGAGAATATTCCGCATCGATCAGCTCCTGGAGCATGGGTTTTACAATGTGCTTTCTGGATCTTGTTATCACATACGTCAAGGGAAGACTGCATGCCCTTACACACATAGCACTGGAAGCCATCCACTGCATTAAAATCATACCAGAAAATATATTATGATATTATTAACTTAAAGCATCAGTCACTCTAGTCTTTCTTGATTACGGGCGTACGAGGGCAGAGGAGATGCTCAGTAGGTGAGTCGAGTTGTTAAGGTAGAATGTTTCGCGCTCCTTATGTGGTTTCGCCGGTAGCTAGTTACGCGTACTACAAACTAACCCGTTAAGCTCTAAGAGTATCCAACATTCAAATGCTCCTTTATATTATAGTAAAAATAAGCTTGGGAAACTACATGTAATCCTTCCGAAGATCGGCTTAAAATTCTAATAACTCGTTTTAGCGCTAAAATTTCATTTAAAATTTCGAGTTCTGTGTGAGACCAGGGTTGTTACGTTTGACAATATGTACTTCTTTTGGGTTAATCTCTCTCCCCTCCCTCCTCAGCCGGCCGGCTCCCTCTGGGTAATCCAATGAAAATAGGAATAGCGAAAAAAACAGTAAGCGCGTAGTCATCACTTTCTTTCTTTCCTCTCCCCAAACTCCCGCACGACACAAAGAGACCTCTGCGGTGCGGAGCTAAGTTAATGCTATCTTATTATCAGAAAGCCTCGTTGAATACATGGAACCCAATCTGAACAGAGCCGGCCATTTACTAGTATACGTGATGCTGGAGAGAAAGGAGTTTGTTGTTGTCGTTTTTATGTTTTGTTTGTTCTTAGTTTTTTCATTTATCCTTATTCTCAGTTAAGTCGTCCCTTCATTAGTCTGAAATGTAACTCTAACCCCTAACCCCCCTCCACACCCCCCACGCGTTAGGTGATGGAGACGTATGACATTTCCGTGACGGCTATCCCTTCACTAGTTTCCTTGTCCGGCACTGACTGAGACTAAGCCTTGAAATTAATACGTTTAAATACTTTGCCGTAATCATGTTCTGTTTTGAGGCAGGCAAATCATTCAGAAGTCAATGAACCATTGGCTTCGTACAACACTTGTCCAGAATATTAGTAATATTTAAGATTCCAAAGCGACTAAAGCAATTGCAATTAAACACCTCTTTATGTCAAGGAACTGAAATAGTTCCTCTAATGCCAAAAAGGAATAAATCTCTATGTTAGCTCTTAAATTCGGTTTCCGTGAAAGATACTTCAGTCCTGTTAGGATCATTTATATAATCATGTAAGTCAGTGGTATAACCAGCTGGTATATCAAGAGCGTATATGTTGTTCAGTCGGCACAGGTACAAAGTCGCTCGTCGTGTGGAACCTGCCACCCCATAGAACCAAACTGCGTTGGTAGAAACCACACGCTGAAGTTGATAGTTTCATAACTTTAGTTTAGTGTGTACGTTTCCTGTCCTGTGCTTGCTCACAACTGAAAAGAGTATGTTGTGCATTCGCAAGCAACCTGCTACTAAGAGGATTTTCGTCCTTTAAAGTTATCAAAAATGTTGGAAGAGACTTACCCATAGTTATTAAGAATATCAAGATACCGCTTGCCAACAGAAATGCTCTCATTGCTGATTACTTCGCGAGATCCTCTGCTTTCGGTGTGATTATGTTCGAATTTCTTTCAAGAGTAAATGTTCCGTGATTTTGGAATGTAAACAGTTTTGAATGAAACAGACTTTCTCATGTTCAATTATGAACCTTCTGATAGGTTCATTAGTTTCACAATACTTGCACTGTCACTTTCTTGTTTATAAGAATAATGTTTTTCTAAACTTTTGATCTGTCTCTACTAGCAACCTGATGTAATTTTGTGTTAACTGCCAAGATTCTTCAATCCTTCTTTCATACTGAAAACCGCTCGTGAAGAGATAAAAGAAATGCATTTTTTATCCCGCGGTGCCTTTCTGTAAGTAATGTATTCATTTTCTCTTTTCACAGCCATTAATAAAGTAAACAGTTACTATAGTGTATTAATTTAACTTACTTTTCGTGTGTAGGATGGACAGTGTATACTTTTTTAAAGGAACTTTTTAAACAATAGATTACGAGTAGCCTCTTAAGTTTCTCGAGTGAGGAGTTAGAAGTACCGCTTGAGCGACTTTTTTTTTAAACAAGGAAAAACTTATCGTGCCAAGCAAATAAGTTCTCTCATTTTCACAAATAAGTGTAAATGTAGGTCGCCTGAAGCGCGTGAAAATCGCACCACGAGGATAAGCGACAAGCCGAGGAGAGTTAGTAGAGTGGCCTTAATTGCACACGAAATTAAAGGAAAACGTGAAACGCGGGACACGCTAGGAGGTGACCTGTTTGAGCGTGAAAGGAAGGAGTGGAAATTGTTGTTTTGATGGATACAGTTTTTCTGTTTTAGTAAGAAAACGATAATCAGTTGTTGACAATTTATGATGTTTCTTCCGCGTACCGATTTAATCCCCTCCCCGTTGATTTTAACCATCTCCCCCTCAACCGCCAATGCTTTGCGAGGTCCTGCCACTACTACCATGGTAACACTTTGAAAGGGGATAATTCAACTCAAAATGAAGAAAGAAAAAGAAAAAAACCTGGCTGCACGTTTAAGAATTACGTGTGCGCGCTGTACACTCTGAACACAGTTAATTTTCAATTGAGAATCGAGGGAAATAACTTTACGTGAACAAATCATGAAAGTGAATTTCCGCGAGCCGTCAACAGTACAGCGCGACGTATGACGTCAAAGAATTTTGTAATGTAGCCCTCTCAGGGACTTTTGGCAGGAAACAGTTTTATTGCTGAGAAAGATGCGTTTTTGACACAAAAGGCACAGAACGAAAAATCCAGATTACTGTTACATGTCATGTGACCCTGAACCAAAGGGAGCGCGCGCTTTTGGGGAAAAGATCCAGCGACTTTCAATTTTATCACTGAGTTTTGCAGGGAATGTACACTCCACTAAAAATGTTCTGGTATAAAATGTCTTGTTGCTGTTACTTGCTTAACAATGGCAACAAGACTGATTTATTTCCTGTCAAACTTTTAACACTTTTTTTTGGAAAGTTACAACACATTTTTTTTTTAACTTTTAGTATCCTTTACTGTACAAAGTAGTCGGTAAGTATGATTACTTCCTAGATTCTAATACAAAACTAAATATCATTCACTGCCTGTCTTCTCAAACTGCTGATCACAACTGATTACTAAAGAAATTAGTCTTATTACAACTAACAGAAAGTAGCTGTTTAAGATGACATGTGAGTACTTATGGAAAGGTAAGACGGGTGGAAATAGACTTTCGCCCAATAATTTTAACCATTTAAGCCTTCATAGTGTGACAAGCGCCCAATTTCTCCTTACAATTACCACTACTTAGGTCAAAAAGGGTCATAGGAATAACGGAAATGTTCTCCTGATGAGAACAGTTCAGAAAAAGTATGAAAAACAGTGTACAGAAATTGCTTTTTGTAATAGGGGCTTAGAGGGGGTTTCCACTCTTCTAGAGGATTTAAAAAAAGACCACGCAAAAATAAGCACTGACACAATACTCAGTAACATAAGAGATGAACTGGCCTACCACGGTATGATACTGTACTTGATACCGTGTTATTTCACTTGCTTTCAGATCGGTTTATGGATTGGACATTCAAGCACGAGAGGTCCACGCGCGATCACTGAGTTAAATGAGCCGCGAGAGAATCGCGCGTGAGAGCTCACGCTTGTTGCGCTTGTAAAACGTTCTTAAAGTGGGTTAATTTTAGTTGCTATTGATCAGTTAAAGAACATTCTGAGCAAGCCAGTCAGTCATGTATCGTATCAAGGGTATCGTTTTATCTTCAGGTATCCTGTTAAGTATCGTATCAAGCCGTTAAAGTATTGTTATACCTATATATATATGAACCATCTATAAACTATTATACAAGCTGATTAAGAGTTATGAGTAAATGAAAAATGTAANAGTTCAGAAAAAGTATGAAAAACAGTGTACAGAAATTGCTTTTTGTAATAGGGGCTTAGAGGGGGTTTCCACTCTTCTAGAGGATTTAAAAAAAGACCACGCAAAAATAAGCACTGACACAATACTCAGTAACATAAGAGATGAACTGGCCTACCACGGTATGATACTGTACTTGATACCGTGTTATTTCACTTGCTTTCATATCGGTTTATGGATTGGACATTCAAGCACGAGAGGTCCACGCGCGATCACTGAGTTAAATGAGCCGCGAGAGAATCGCGCGTGAGAGCTCACGCTTGTTGCGCTTGTAAAACGTTCTTAAAGTGGGTTAATTTTAGTTGCTATTGATCAGTTAAAGAACATTCTGAGCAAGCCAGTCAGTCATGTATCGTATCAAGGGTATCGTTTTATCTTCAGGTATCCTGTTAAGTATCGTATCAAGCCGTTAAAGTATTGTTATACCTATATATATATGAACCATCTATAAACTATTATACAAGCTGATTAAGAGTTATGAGTAAATGAAAAATGTAATATTGGCCTGTAAAGCAGGCATTTTTTTTAACGAAATCTCAGAGGAACATTGATCGAAGCCGCTATCTTGAAAGCAATTGAAAACCTCTCCCTTGGAATAATTTTTTCACTTGCCCTAACTCTCCGTCAGTTTCAACGTCCAAGATGGCGGGAGAAAGTAAGTATCATTGTTTGCACTGCAAAATACCCTGTTTTGCAGGCTAATGTACCATAGGAACGAGTAGTTTAGAAAAGACACCTACTGATTACTGTAGGGTTTATGTAAAGCACATTTGAATACTTACAACAATCAAGAGAAAAAAGGGGGCTTTGAAATTACTATTAAAATATATCAACAAACACTTTTAATCCGCTGATGAAAAACTTTTGATGAAGGTTTTGTAGTCCATAACTTGCCCCTCGCCTTCGTCAGTCATGTCTATAAACTCCTGAAGGTTCATTGTGCTTTCTGTAAACAAAAATAACAATCCAAACAATATTACTCAGCTAAAAATCTACAGTTTCAATTAATAACCATGTTTTCAAGGAAGGTAAGTCATCTGTCTGTCAGCAGCAGAAGGCTCAGTAGGACTGAAGCAAAGTAGGTAACTGACTACAATTGACCTATTTGTGCTGTTAATAAAAACCTTACCAACCATAATTTTTCTGAAAGGTTAAAACTCAAGAGTACATGTTTTTCATTTAAAAGGAGGAAAATTTGAACATACTATTTCTAAGAAGAAAACGATTTTACAAACGTTTTTGTAATAAAAATAAAACTTATGCCCCCTGAATTTAAATGGTAGGCATTAAGTGAAACAAATAATTATTTTTTTACTTTTTCGCAGATAATTTTTTGGCATGCGATATTTCTAAGTTACCCAATATACATGTACATGTCATTCCATGTTGTCAAAAAATATACTCTAGGTGTAGTACATTACAAAGAGAGCCCACCATGCGTCAAGTGGTCACTTTATACAAGACGTTAAAAATAATGGAAAACTATAAAACTGTCAGCCCAAAAGGTGATCAAGGTCGCTTACGAGAGGTGCTCATTTACGAGAGATTCTAATTATAGGGCTTTGACTATTAAAGGGCGCTTTCCAAAAGTCAGAAATGGCCGGCCAGACTATGGCTGGACCAGACGTTTTGGCAATGAAACAGGCTTTTTCCAAGAGGTTTTGCTGAAAAACTATCTCCTTTCTGCATAATATTTAGGATTTGACTAATGTGGGTGGTTAGTTTTGATTAAAAGTGATATTCTCATTACAATGGGAATGGGCTGGCCAGTCAGTTCTGACTAATGGTAAGTGCCCTAAGAAAATTTTGGTGTTTTTGATAGGTGGTTGCTAATGAGAGGTGGTCACACATGAACGTTTGACTCTTTATAAAATTATTGAAGCTTTGATGTAATGAGGTGTACCTGCTGTTCTGATTGGTGCATACGGTGGTGGTGTTTTGATCCATTCACCATTTGGTTTCTTCATGTGTGACCGGTCTGAGGCAAAGGTCCGAAGAAATACCTCTGCTGGTATTACTCTGAATTTTCTGAAAGAAAGTTTTTAATGAAAATTAATATTATAAATGCTTAATAGGTGGGAGTTACGTATTATACAGAAGGGATTCTAGAATTCCTTGCTACTGATCAATCTAAAGTATAAAATTTGAACTGGTGTTTGAGGTACTACATAATCTCAAGTCACCAGTAAGTATTATTTGTCTTTAATTTTCAAAAGAATAGCAAGAGTCAAAATAAAACTGCATCTGCAGTCAGTATTCCCAAAGTCAGTGATAGACAATGACCCTAACACTACCACAGACTGCTTAGCACTTTGCCTGTACAAGTACTCGTGAATTCAATGTTTAAAAGTTTCCTTACTATCAAACCTAACTGCTACAGTGGTCCGTAGTCTTGAGTCTAACATCTAGCCCTCATTCTAAACTTTAACCAGTTTGTCATTGCAGTCAGTGACTAAGGGAAGTTATAGTGCCAGTCGTACAGTTGTTGTTGACAGTGACTGTCAACAACAACAGTCCTATTCAGGACTACGTTCACCCCAACAATCAAACTCAACCTAAATTTTGAAAATGACCCCTGGGTTCAAACCTTTCACATGGATTAAACTGCCAGGAATTTTAGAATCTAGCCCGCTTGTAACCCCAAACATCCTTAAATGGAATTTGGTAAGGTTCACAACTGCAAAACCAAAGTGCGTGTCTCCATCATGAAATATGTCAACTAACATACTGATCCCAGAAGTTCAAATGTTGGATAGCACAATACACTGGATAAATTATTATGCAACCGATAAAGTATTAGGAAAATCAATTGCTCTACATTCCTCTGGATAGCAATTTATCCAGTGGATTGAGCAATATTTATCTACTTTTTGATCTGGGGCCTGGAACTTACCTGTGAAATTGCTTTTTTAGTCGTCTGTCACTCTGTATAGCTTGTTCAGCGTACTGAGTAAATGGACAAGGAAAAGGTAGGATAGAATCCAGATCATAAATGAGACTCTTCTCCTCCACTTTTCGTAGTAAAAGAACATGATAATCCTAAAAATCCAAGATTATCTAAATTGAGTCCATTATTTTCTTTTTAACTGCATGATTTCATTAGACTACTTAAGTGTTCATAACCAAATGTGGCATGAATATTCTTTCCAGAAAAAGAAGGAAGCACTACTGCCACAGCTATGTAACAACTTCATTTGCACTCTGAGTGTGTTAATAATTATATGGTGAAAGAAATGAAAGATGGTATAAAATTTTAAGCTCGGTGAGAGAGATGTGAAAATGATATGAACACCATGTCACAAGCATTGAGAATCCTGTCAGGAACTCAGATATTTTCTTTGTCCCACACTCGTGACATGCTGATCATGTCATTTTCACATTTGTTTCACCGAGCTTAAAATTTACCACCTTTCATTTCTGCAACATCGACATCGCTGATCCTAGCAGTATACAGGACGCATGTCAAATATGAACCTAGTACATGGCCTTGTTCTCCATGAGTTCTCTGTAGCTCAGGAGCACCCGCCTGGGGTTCGGGAGGCCATAGGTTTGAATCCTGTCTGGGATTCAGATTTTTTCCATGTCCCATGCTCTTGACATGCTGATCATATCATTTTCACAATTATCATAATTATGTTGCTGTTCACTTTTACATTTTCACTTTTTGTTTTCTTGGTTGAAAATTAATATAACATTTGAACCATGGATAAAAATTGATATTTCATGAAATAACCAACACAATCTTGGAAGACAAGATTATTTTTTAACACAATTGCTATAGCTAGAGCCCGCAGGGTTCTATTTGACAACTTACCCATACTACTGGAGCTAATGGTTCTTTTGCTGATTTTTGCATCCATAAAGGAACCTGTATTACACCAAGTAAGTGCAGTGACTTGTTAATTATAACAAGGAAAGGGATAACTAGAGGGTACTTGTAGCAAATGTTATGATCAATGATTAATACTGACAAAGAGACACTGATCTACTTGTCATCAAATCTTTATCTTCATGTCAAAACAGTGGAAATCCATTAAAATGACTGTTACAGGTCCAAATCATAAACAGGTTAAACTTCTTTAACCTAGGTTGATTCTCAATTTTCTTTGTCTCCCTAAGCCCTAATAATTTATAACACAGGAACTTGAGAATCAACCTTCATCATCAAAAGTGTAGGGAAGGTTGCTTTTTTACCCCTTTTTTTCCTTCCCGCCCCCCTCCCCCCGGCCCTGACCCATTGTTGAGAAAAACATTAATGTCTGTGTGCATAATTGTTCTGTCATATCCCAACTTTGAATGGGGAGGGGGGGGGGATATTTAGCAAAAGAGAAAACTCTCTTTTTTGAGGATTAAAATGGACTACTGTTAAGTTGCTTTGTCATAAATGATAATCCATGACCAGCTTCTTAATGATTAGCACTAAACAGAAGCTATAATAAAAATGGTGGCTTAAGAACTATTGCAGTCAAATTAGGAGGCCCACAACATATCTTAAGCTTCACAGGGACAGTTAGAGTGAGAGAAGTGAATTAGAAAGAAATGGGTGCATAATGATTTCCAGCCATTGATGACCAACTTTAGAAAGACCATAAACATGAACTTATTAAAACACAGGTTGCCAAAATTAATTGCTGACTTTCACTGCATTACTTTAGTTGCCAATTAAATGGCCATCAAAATGCATTGTAACCAGATGTTCAATTTATTATGTAACAACATTTATGGGCATTTTACTGGAACAAATCAAAGTACCTGTAATGAAAAAGTGGCCAAATAAAATGGTATGTATACTAGTTGAGTTCCACTGTATTAAAAAAACATACCTGTCTCTTATCATTTGAAATGAAAACTGCATAATATTCATTCAGGCTTTGCTCTTTTTCCTCCTTTATCTGCTCACATAATTTCCACACATTTTCTTCACTGAAAAAAGAAAACCATCCCACAGTTGTCAAAAATCATGACATATTGTATTATTTTCTTTTTGCACATACAAAGGTAGAAAAAAAACTAAGCTAACAACCTGCAAAAACCTAAGGTTCTAGGATGGAATGGAAAAGCATAATTCATGAAAATAAAGTGAAAATATATCTGCATTTCTGAGAAATAAGCCCACAATTTCTGAAAATGCTAACCTTGCTGGGAGTGCTGGATGCACTGAAAATCGAAAGGAAAACAAGGTTGGAGAAAAGGAAGACAAACCCTTTTAGCTGCATTAGAAGCTGCCTACAGTGAGTATCATTGGACCACGAAAAAAGCAGCTAAAAGTTTGCTATTTTACAAGGAACAGCCTCTCACTAAAGTGAACAAAACAAACAGAGACAAAACTGCCTTCCATTCAGCAGTTTGGTCAGTTTGCCAGTTTTAGTCTGCAGACACATGCAGTGTGAACTGCTTTGACTTTCAAAAGCTGAAATGCATTGTGGGACACCATTTTAAAAAGTTGGGGATGAACCATGACCAACAACAACACTAGTGCCAAGCATGTGTTTCACTCACATGACACAAGGTGACCTCCCTGCACCTTTTTGAAAATTTGTCATACAGAAAGAATGCAAAAGCATCAAAAAGCATATTTCTATAAATAGTTATATCCGATAAGTTTTAACTGTAGAATCCATTGATAACAGTCGTCAGGAAAAAAATTTGTCAGAAGCACTTTTTAATAGTTTCACTTTGCCGCGCCTAGAAACAAGCTTTAACGTTCTCTCTCTTTACCTATGAATTCATAACTCCTTTTCGGAAGGGAATTGGGATTATAAAAACTTGAACTTGTGAAAGCAAATAACAGTGAAAGTTAATTTCGGTGCGATCGTAAAGACATCTTTAAAAAAGACCTTATCAAAATACTGTTTTACAACAACGATAATTTTCCTTTAAATTTCCAATAAACCTTACTTATTGAATAATCTGTTTACTCGATAGAAATAGAATTATTTTTTGCAAATTCAAAGAAAAGTTTGTGTTTTAAGGTCAATAAAACTTGTAATGTACCAATTCTATAAACCGGATCACAGCCCGGGAAAACCCCGCGAAAGAAGTGTCCACCAATACCATTGAAAAACCGAAAAACAAATTGAGATCATCTTTTTAAGTAATGTTCGTTAAAGCAAATATTACGGAGACCTAACTGCCCTACAAAACTTGCAAAAAGCCAAGTTTTTCTAATGTACAAATTTCGTACGACATAACGGATCAAAATGCTTTTGCGCTTTTCAGACATCTGAACTTGTAAATTCTCCGTTTGCGCCGTAAGATGTGCATATTATACCACACTAGGGTATGTGAGTAGGACATTTACGTATAAAGATAGTCACATACCAGTAACAGCTCGTATAGACGCATGTAGACGGTGAAATTTCTCCTTTAACTTCCACTGAAGTTTTTGCCTGCATGGCCGGCCATTGAAAACAAAACCTGAAAGGCTTGAGGCAGGCATGGAAACGAGGCCTGTGGCTGCGACCGCTGTTTAACTGTACTGGCAGCTGCAAAAACAACATGGCGGAAGAGAAGAGTGTCTTTGTCACTGTTGGAACAACAAGCTTTGACCGATTAATTGAAACTGTTTCCAGCAAGCCTTTGATTGAGGTAAATTATTAAACGTCTTTCTCTCTGTAGAGTTACTACAGAACACAGGGCCGTGTGATAAAGGTCTTAAACAGAAGTAGCTCGGTGGTTCGCCAGTGTTCTTTTGATACCTACAGTACACTTCGTCTTAATTCGATTCATTGCTGCAGATAATTATATTTTTTTTCATTCTACAGGTTTTAGAAAATTTAGGATACCGAAGTGTTGTTCTTCAAATAGGAAGAGGTGATTGCGAGCCCGAGGTAATAAAAAGAAAGAATTTCTCCTTGACACACTACAGATATAAAGATTCAATCGCTGCTGATATTCAAAGAGCATCGCTTGTGATCAGCCACGCAGGTAAGTTGAACTCTTTTTTAATGGTATCTGCACTTACAATTAACAGTAAAACCTAACTTAGTTATAGAAAAGCTTACTTATTAAAGCTTAGATACAAGATTCAGCTTACTAGAAACCTTGAAAAAGTGTTCTTATTGATGAGTTAATACTTGTGCAGATATACATCAAGGGGTGAATTATGATTTAGCTTACACGTGGTACGCTTAGAGGGGGTTTACACACCTGTGTGCTATTCACTGTTTTAAAGTTACTAATAAGAATAATCAGATTTAATTATTATTACATATTTGTTTTCTTGTTTTGGAACTTACATGAGGTCAGCTGCGAAATTTTGAGTGCCATGATTTTCTCCGAGCAGAAGCACAGAATGATGTTTAAATTGAAAGTTATAAGTAATGTGATCCATTCGTACATAAGCCAAAAAATTAAAAAAGGACTTAAGGACAGTGAAATCACGCTGCTTGTGTTTTCTCCACACCAGGGATGCATTGACATCAATTTCACAACAGTGAACCATGGAGTGTTTGTAACTGTTTTTCTTAGGGGCTGGAAGTGTTTTAGAGACTCTGCAAGCAGGACGGCCACTTATTGTAGTGATCAATGAACACTTGATGGACAATCATCAGTTAGAGTTAGCAAGTCAACTTGCTGAGGATGGCCACTTGTACTATGCTACTTGCAGGTGTGTAAGATATTGGCAAAACTGTTCTTCAGCAATGTTAGAGAAATTGTCTTGTACTTAGCATATTTCTTTGACATTTTTCTCATAAACACAATTTGCTAATAAAGATAGTGATAAAATTGATGCAACACAACAAATTTTCAAATGCACATTGCATATGCAAAAATTCAGGAGACTAGCTTGCAAGTTCCAAAGTACAGTATGGTAGGCCATTTGCCTTAAGCCTCATTTTAAAAGTGATAGTTTCTGAAACTCAGAAATGGCCCATTCAGCTCTGATTAGGCAAAGTTATGTGGAAAAATTTACATGCACAAAAAGTAATTAATCAATCAGTTTTTGTAAGGGATGATTGTTAAATAAACATGTGGTATATTTAGTGATATTTTCACTCTTTATTTTACAGCACACTGCAGGATACCATCACGGAAAAAGATCTCACACAGCTAAAACCATTTCCTCCTGGGAAGCCTGAACTTTTTTCTGCTTTTCTAGACAGAGCAATGGATTTCCATTCATAGCAAAGAAACTTGGTGCGTTCACCGTTAATTGAAATGACACTGAATCCATCGTTTGATAAGTAAGGGATTTACAAGACCCCACATGCCTTCAAAAGAATGTTTTTTGCTCCATGGGAAGCACCCGCAGAAACTGACAGCTTGTTCAGCAGAAGGTTTTGGGAAAGACGTCTTGGGCTTAAACGCTATGGCTTTCAAGGGGAAAAAATATGGGTACTTCCTGGGAAAACCTATTCATGATCACCTATTCAAGTCATGAAAATTTTATGCGTCAGAGCAACCAGTTAATTAATAGGCTTTAATACGTGCTCAATTTGCCTGCAATTTTGGTAGACTGGGAGCAGTTTCTCATTAAATATCTCCGAATTAGTCGTGTGGTGTAGCACGCGCGATCGGTGAAGCTTCAAGAAGCAAGAAGGGTGTACGAGAATCTCGTACGCGAACGTGGCCATTTCGAAAGCGTTTCTTTCGACAAACTGACAGGTCGTTTCGCCCGAAAGTCGATTCGTTCGACGGCAGTTCGCCCGGACTTGAGTTGATTTGCCCGATGTTTATTTGTCATTTTTCAAGCCTCAAAAAAGGAATAAGCGTGAATTACAGTGACTGCACTTGTGGATCAACGGCTGTAAGTGAAAACTGACACACGTATATCAAAGGTCGACATATCGATTGTTGCGATCCCTGAGGTACATGCAGACGTCAGTTTTATGGACAGTCAGTTTCAGTATCTCGAATGGGACTATCGAGATCGCTTAGATCCTTCAGATCGCGGGACCTTTTTAGCAATCGCAACAATACAATCAAAGCTTCACTAACAGCATCTCTGATATAAAGCCGTGTTGTAGAGTGTTGTTTGTCATCGGGCGAATTGACTTTCGTCCGGGCGAAACGACTTCGGGCGAATTGACTTTCTGGCGAAACGACCACAATTCACATTGGTTACCTCGCCCTCTTCTTTATTTGTGATATTAAAAAAAACTGCTTGCGCCCCATCGAAGGTTCGGCTATTCCGATGACTAGACCTATTTCCTTTGTGCTGCGTACCAAAGAATAGTCATGGTCACCAAACGAAGTTAGCGAGTTATATTTTATAGAAAAAAACCTTTGGACAACTTCTTCAAATCTAGCTAGGGTGGAAGGCATTTACAGGAAAGGGCCAATTAAGACACGAGAGGCCATCGCGTTTACGTGCGCTGTAAATTTTCTTTTTCCTTTCCCTTCAAACAAGCGCAACACAGGCTTTTTTGAATCAGGAATTTTGATCTGTTGGTATGGATCGTTAATTCTAAACGGTTTTTTTAAATTGATTTTTATCACAGCTTATCTGTTTAAAACCCAGATAATTAACTCTCAACTAAAATTCTGTTGATGCCGTTTACGTCTATCGTAATGACACGAAGATGAAACAACCCAAATATGCAGGCACTTGTGTCGCTCAGGGGGGTCTTTTTACCCAATACCCTAAAGTAGTGTAAGATAAATAAAAGTCTACAAACTCACAAAGTATTGCTGCTTTGATTACTTTACATATGCATTAGCATGCAAAGAAATAGCAATTTGGGTCATTTTATTTATTCATAGAGTAAGGGGGGTAACAGAATTCGTTAAGTGTTGTTATTGTTGTTGTTTAATAATTTAAATTGTGAGATCCCCGTGAGAAAAGTAGTCCTAGGCCAAACGTTGAACTTTCTCATGAGACGAACCAAACTCTAATCTGGGTCGACCTAAATTAAGTTAAGAACGTCTTCTGGGTCAGAAGTCGAACTTAGGACGCGTCGAACCAATCAACTAAATCAGACCAAAAAGAAATTTTAATAAATTTTCTCTCGAACAGGCTAAATATACATTATCATTCAAATTTTCAGTTTCTTAGTTTAGTTCGTTGCATGAGAGGATCGACGTTTGTCTCGGAGACGACCTTCAGGCGTTCTATCCGTCTGAAGCAAACGGATAGAACGTGTTAGATGATCCAAACTCATTCAGACGAACGTAACTGAGCCAGACGTCGAACTTTTCATGAACTTAACTCAACTCGCATGCTTCCTCACCGAAAAAAAAGATGGCGTCTGTTCTGCAGGGTATAAAATTTGCTGGAGATAACGTATCCGGGACTAACACCCTAATTTGATACTCTCGTTTCCGGTATAAGTGTCCTTCATTTGAACAGAAAACCGAATATGAACATTGTGAACAACAGAGTCATAATGATGACTTGACCACTTGCTTCAATTCCTGAACCTGTGTTACAGTTGTCACCGCTGCAGCAAGCTGTTTTGCATGTAACATCATGAAACCCAGAATCCTTTAGTTTCTTGCACATTAGATCCTCATTGTCCGAGCACTGTTTAGCAGTAGTGCAGCCCTTGCCAGACATCTTAAATTGCCGTGTATTTATGCTGTAAAAAATTTCCCCTTTAAAGCATCGGTTAAATCCTGGTGGACATGTTAGATCTTGGTTTGATGTGCACTGGACATCCAAGGAGCTCGGATGCAGTAATTACACTTTAAGTTAAGAGTTTGCACAACATAAAGGTAAAGATGAGATGGATCGAGATAGGTTTCTGGGAAACTGCCCACCTACCCTCCCCTAAGCTAACATTAACACTTAGTTCTCACTTAGGGCAAAATGTTGGCTTAGGGTAGGAGCAGGTAGGCAGTTTCCTAGAAACCTAAGTTGATCCGATGAAAGTACCCTTGTATGAAAGTCTCAAAGTTGCTGAAATCCCGATTTAGTTAACTGAGCATGCTTACTGCTTTTGTAAGCACAGTCCGCCATTTGTATCAACCAATTAAAAGAAATGAGGGTCGAGGGGCTTTCTTGTCAAGGTGACACTTAAAAAAAAGATAAAGCGAGAAAGAAAAAAAAACAGCTAGTGGCATGTATAATTCTTGTCGGGGAGACAGTGAACGCCAACAGAGATATGATATAAATACTGCCCTGATACTACTCAACAAGAAATGCATCATTTCTCCTTAATTTATTTGCGAGAAAGCACCAGATTACTGAGTAACTATACTTTTGACAATCAATTGTCCTCATACCTCCACACAAGGTGAATTATAGTTTGTTGTCGAGGCTGGGAACTTATTTGATGGGGAGGAAAAAGGAGTAAAAAGAGAAATACTTAGCCGATTGTTATTTTATAGTAAATGTTCTGGATTTACCGTTTGCCTCACCTATAGCGATATGTCGCTAACTATGTATATAAATCAATGATAAATAAACGTTGAATTACCTTACCTGTGGTATATAGTCGTCGTTTTACCTCAAAAGCGGTTTTTTTGAGCCATTTTGAAGGAGTTTGAATTCGCCGTTGACTGTTCCTTATTATAAAGAACGGTCAACGGCGAATCTGAATTACTGGGAACGGAACCCAAGTTTAGAAGGAGAAAGAAAAATTCTTCCTCGTGTGTTTGCGTCCTCCATAAATGAAACGCTGCATAAGAGAACCTGATTCCACGGAAGTCGTGGTCCTGCAGTGACGGAAAGAAATGAACAAAAAAATTTTGCTGCACTTGTAAAGATTTAAAGGTTTGTAAAGGCTGTTCATAGACCCTCTATTTTCTCTTACAAATCAGTCGAGCGTACGTCATAAAAATAAAAACAGCGAGGGATTTGTTGACTGCCAGCGCAAGGGGGTAGGGGGNTAGGAGCAGGTAGGCAGTTTCCTAGAAACCTAAGTTGATCCGATGAAAGTACCCTTGTATGAAAGTCTCAAAGTTGCTGAAATCCCGATTTAGTTAACTGAGCATGCTTACTGCTTTTGTAAGCACAGTCCGCCATTTGTATCAACCAATTAAAAGAAATGAGGGTCGAGGGGCTTTCTTGTCAAGGTGACACTTAAAAAAAAGATAAAGCGAGAAAGAAAAAAAAACAGCTAGTGGCATGTATAATTCTTGTCGGGGAGACAGTGAACGCCGACAGAGATATGATATAAATACTGCCCTGATACTACTCAACAAGAAATGCATCATTTCTCCTTAATTTATTTGCGAGAAAGCACCAGATTACTGAGTAACTATACTTTTGACAATCAATTGTCCTCATACCTCCACACAAGGTGAATTATAGTTTGTTGTCGAGGCTGGGAACTTATTTGATGGGGAGGAAAAAGGAGTAAAAAGAGAAATACTTAGCCGATTGTTATTTTATAGTAAATGTTCTGGATTTACCGTTTGCCTCACCTATAGCGATATGTCGCTAACTATGTATATAAATCAATGATAAATAAACGTTGAATTACCTTACCTGTGGTATATAGTCGTCGTTTTACCTCAAAAGCGGTTTTTTTGAGCCATTTTGAAGGAGTTTGAATTCGCCGTTGACTGTTCCTTATTATAAAGAACGGTCAACGGCGAATCTGAATTACTGGGAACGGAACCCAAGTTTAGAAGGAGAAAGAAAAATTCTTCCTCGTGTGTTTGCGTCCTCCATAAATGAAACGCTGCATAAGAGAACCTGATTCCACGGAAGTCGTGGTCCTGCAGTGACGGAAAGAAATGAACAAAAAAATTTTGCTGCACTTGTAAAGATTTAAAGGTTTGTAAAGGCTGTTCATAGACCCTCTATTTTCTCTTACAAATCAGTCGAGCGTACGTCATAAAAATAAAAACAGCGAGGGATTTGTTGACTGCCAGCGCAAGGGGGTAGGGGGAAGAGGATAATAAACGTTCTTTATTTTTCTTTCGTGCCCTCTGCTATGTTACCAACGTAACGGCCTCTATTGTTACTCCCGGAGGACACATTACGGTCGAATTCAAGTATACCTGTGTCAGAGAAAACGTGGTGTATGCGATTAAATGCCGTACCTGCAATAAAGCGTACATCGAAAAGACTGGAAGACACTTATAGGTGACCGACTTCGAGACCATATACACTTCACTCGATTACCTGACACCGACCTTCCCGTTGGCCGCCACTTTACATCCCCTGGTCACAGAATCGGCAACATGTTGGATCGGTGATCCGTTTTGGCTTCAAAAGTACAACAGAAAGGCGCAGTTTTGAGGCCAGCGTGATATTCAGACACCAGATACTTAAACCAGCCCGAATGTGATACTTGAACCTGATTGTGCACTTCAACTTTATTTGAACTTCTCAAAGTCAGCGCGCACATGTATCATTAGTCTTTGTTTTGATTTCTATTTAAACGTTACATTAACCGTTTTTTTTTGGTTGTCTTAAAGCACTGAGGAAGAGGGAGCACCCTTGAAACGTTTGGTTTTTCGTACCTTTTCAACGCAAATTTTGTAAAAATCAATCGATCATTAGCGTTGCACCTTCCAGTTTTTAAAACCATCTGTAATAATCCGCAACAAATTGAGTTTGTTGGTTACTTGGGAGCCAAAGTAAAACAATTAATACACCAGATCAATTTCTTTTAACATCTAGTTTCATAATGTACACTGAAAAGTTAAATAACATATATATATATTTCAACCACATGTACACAACGCGCTTTTTTCTAATCTGAGAACGAATAGGCCATTTCCGAGTTCCCCCGGGCCTCTGTTTCAAAACGAGGGTAAGTGCTCAGCCTTTGATATAGATGTCATTTTTCATTCTCAGGCAAATAAACTCATTTTCACAAGAAAGGTTGTACACCTAGCCTCATTTTGAAAGTGAGAGTTTTTGGAACTCGGAAGTGGCCTATTAGTATAAAGTATAATGAAGTGGATAAACCGCAATAAAACTACAGTTAACCGGAGACAAACCACAAGAGTTGTTTCAAACTCGGGGACTATTGGACCCCGATTTCTTGACAACGCCGCGGTGAACAAACAGTTTATAAAGCTCTCTTTCTAAAGCTTCATTAGTTCCTTTAAGCCCTTCAACAACTTTATGCGTCCAGTGGAAGTACTCAGTAACTCTCTCTCTTGTCCAACCTTCTGGTGTAACCCGATTGAGGTCTCTTAAATTATACAGTTTGTCACCAAGTTTCACCAGCTTGGCTTTNGTTAAATAACATATATATATTTCAACCACATGTACACAACGCGCTTTTTTCTAATCTGAGAACGAATAGGCCATTTCCGAGTTCCCCCGGGCCTCTGTTTCAAAACGAGGGTAAGTGCTCAGCCTTTGATAAAGATATCATTTTTCATTCTCAGGCAAATAAACTCATTTTCACAAGAAAGGTTGTACACCTAGCCTCATTTTGAAAGTGAGAGTTTTCGGAACTCGGAAGTGGCCTATTAGTATAAAGTATAATGAAGTGGATAAACCGCAATAAAACTACAGTTAACCGGAGACAAACCACAAGAGTTGTTTCAAACTCAGGGACTATTGGACCCCGATTTCTCGACAACGCCGCGCTGAACAAACAGTTTATAAAGCTCTCTTTCTAAAGCTTCATTAGTTCCTTTAAGCCCTTCAACAACTTTATGCGCCCAGTGGAAGTACTCAGTAACTCTCTCTTTTGTCCAACCTTCTGGTGTAACCCGATTGAGGTCTCTTAAATTATACAGTTTGTCACCAAGTTTCACCAGCTTGGCTTTATGGCTGAAATGAATATTAAGTGAAAAGACTTGCTTTAATTTATAGTACTTGCAAATAATTATGATTTTCTTAAATTACTAAAGGTTACATTAAGCTTGCATAAATGGCTGATTTGTAAGCATACTCTAGGATGACTGAAGCGCCAAGCACCCTAAAGACAATGAACCTGCAGCCTCGGTCTGCAGTCCTAACCTTATAAAATACAATTTTTAGCAACAGTTTAAATACCAAGATAATATCTTCCGGGAGAGGAGGATTTAATTTGCACATATTCAAGTTTGACCAAACATCCAGTAACTTAAACCCAAGCCACTTATCCTAAAAGCTCATGTTACACCCACACCTAAACTAAATTAAACCCATCTTTCTGGGAGTGTTCTTTCCCTTTCTTATCACAAAAGTGGTTTGATCTAAGAATCAAAGTGGCTTAAAATCTGACCTGTATCCAGATGTCTCCTACTTCCAGATAGCTGCTCAAAAGCTACATTAACTTATGTCCACCTTACAGGCCCCTACGTGAAATTACAGGTGGGCTGGGTGGAATTTATTAGCACAGGAGCTCAGGCTAGTTACAATTATTTGCTTTATGCTAGATAAATTAACGAGTTTTTCCTAATTCTTTTTCACAGACAGAAAAATCCTCATGATTTATTGGGTAAGATATAGTACGTCACATAAAAAAAGTCTGCATATAAACTGACTGGTTCATTGAAGAAAACATATACCACCACTTATTGTGCACTTAGGAGGAAAGAGCAAACACCCAGAAATCAGTCTGCATTTGCAGGCCAGCCGCCACAGACACCTACTTTAAATTAACTTCAGAATGTTATAGAAACTTTGGAACAAAATTCCTACAAACCTGCAACTTTTCGCATGCACTATCTGAAGCCTTTTACGTTCCATTTTTGGCAGAGTTTTATCATCTGTCACTTCACTCACAATGTGTCGCACTTCAGGGCCAAATTTGGATTCTATTTCATCAAGAGTGGTATTGGTGTCTTCAACAGTATCATGAAGAATGGCTCCCTTATCAAGAAAATAACGTACAAATATAACAAAAAAGAACATTAAAATCCCACTTGTCATAAGATCAGAGTGCAAAGAAAGTTGTGTCCGATGGCCTGATGCTCGTGGATTTTGCTATCACACCAAAAAATTCTGTTCTTCACTTGTCCAACAGGCAAGATAATTTTTTTGAGGAATTCAAATTATAGAAGAACAGTAGTCAATCCTGGTCATCAAAACATTTTTTTCAGAAAGCCAGAAGGACAAGATTTAAAACTGACTTTCTTTGCACCCTGAAGAGTGCTATGTTTTTGTGAGTAAAAATCTAGTTTTCATTGATTTCTAGAATAGCTTTGTAGATTCGAGCAGCATACAAGATGTATTTCACATATGAACAGAGTTAATGACCCACAACAAGTTCCTAGGTCACAGTCAGTGGTTTAAGACCAGGGTTGTCACTAAGATTTCAAGGTGCTGGGTAAATACAATAAGTAGGTGGGGAATCAAACAGCTACGGGATTCGTTTGGTTCTATTTGTCTTCTATTTTCCTTTAAAGTAGCCGGGGGCCTCGTTCATAGTACCTGGGAGGGGGGGAGGGACCCCAGCCCCCCGTGCATCATGCTTGTTTGCACATTTCTTTGCTGTCACTGCATGGCTATGGGTTGAAAATGCCTAATTTCAAGTTTTACAGAGGAAGTGCACAAGTGATGATGAAATTTCCTCTCAGCTCCTTCTGAACTTGGATATGGTTCTTAGGAATTCAACTTCAGGAGGGTTCACCTACGTTTGACAAAGTTAGTGACCTGTAGTAATCTCGATGAAGAATCAAGATTGAAAGAACGTAAATTCACTTTTTCAGTGACGCTTTCACTGCCATCGCCGTCCTCGGATCTTAAGGTCCCTACTGTGTCACGAGTAATACTCTAATCTTTAGGGAGGGTAAACAGGGATACCAAAAACACTGAGGATTGTTGTCTAGTCTATTCTTCTTAAACCAATAACTGTAATGTAAATATGTCTTAGTTTCCTTTCCCCTGCCTCAATTAGTTCCTTAGTTATTTGTTCATTGGTGGGAAAACTATACGTAATTAAATTATTAGCAAATGAGTTTTTAAAATAACATTTGTTGCTTGTTGTTGTTGTTAGGTATGGCAGACCCTCCAACTCTCTCAGTTTGGGCTGTCAACACACAGTCTCATGATTTAGCCTCTTAATCTCATGGTGTATCCAAAAATCTTGAAATTGTCAGACAATGGGAGTCGCGTGATTTCAAAAAATCTGTATTCAAAATGGCGAATTGTATCAATTTATTTTGGGGGGATCTGGGTCCAATTCCAACCTCATTCCCATGAAACATAGATCAGCTAAGGTCTGCGGCAAAGCCTTAAAGCAAACTCAAATAATGTCCTATCAGCCTGGATAGTTAAACAGAATCTCAAACTTACTCAGAGATTTCAGAGCCTCAGCTGGACAGGAGCAGCCAAATATCATACAACATTTAAAAGTGAGTGGAGTAAATTATATCTAATGGGGGAAAGAAAACTATGACAAAAATAACCCGCCTTTTTGGTTTTGTTGGACTTGTTTGTAAACCTCTAGGTTTGTGGTGCCAATCTCCAGGTTTTTTGGGGACTTCTTTTCAAACACTCCAGATTTGATGGTTTAGGGGTTGGAAGGTCTGGTATGGGGGATACCTAGAACACAGGGATACAAGATCACTGTACGACTTTTTAGCTCACTGTTCGCAGCTCGTCAGCACACCAAATTTCAACCCCCCCCCCCTCCCAAAATAGACATCTATCGACACCTTTAACCTGGCAATTCCCATAAACCTGATAAACCTTCTTCATTTTTGAATCAGCTCGAAACTAATATCAACCAGTTTGCAAACAAACACAGAGCACGTTCGATTTAATTCGATTAGGCGCAGATCCCGCTTATTAATTAGACGCTGAATAGAAACCCAGGCTTGTCAAACTGTTAAAACATTTTCCTGTCCAAAAATGTTAGTATTAAGAGATTGGAAAGTGCTAAATAGGTAAGCTTATATAAAATCATATCCACTTGCCGGTTTGGCAGCAAGCTCACCTGAAGCACTCGGGAGTCATGAATTCCGCCTTCTTTCCAAAGAATATAAGCTACTCCGATAGGATGATTAATGTATGGAGTTTCCTCGGGATCTTTTCTTCTCTGGTCCTTATGTTTTATGGCAGCAAATTGGACTGCTTCTAGAATTCGGCCAATTACATTTATTGGGTTGTCCTGTATCAATCCGTCAGCGTCTTCTTCGTCCGCCATTTTGAAACAAATTTCGTGCCCAGTCTCTTCTGATGCGGTTCATGATGTTCCGGGGGAGGGTGGGGCTTAACGTAGGGGTTGGATATTTTGTATTCGTGTAGGAGAACACGGATTTATTACCAACGTAGGCTATCGAGTTCGACTTCCACTAAGAATGAATAGAATGCAAAGAACGCACTTTATCACGCGTACGCAAAGCACAACGCTGTCGTCCGCACTCCGTAACCTGTGGTTATTACTAGTTTAGTCCAAAAAGTTATTAATTTTGACCTCCTAAAGCGATTGACATCTGCATACCAATGTACAGTCGAACTACCCTAAATGGAAGGATTTAGTTGTCGCTTACGGAAGGGGGTCGCTTACGAGAGTCGAACCACAGGGGGTCTTTTTGAGGAATGATCTTTTGGAAGAAATTTTATTGCATGCAGTTTTTACGTTAC